GCCTGGGGCGCGGGGGCAGCCTGGGGCGCGGGGGCAGCCTGGGGCGCGGGGGCAGCCTGGGGCGCGGAGGCAGCCTGGGGTGTGGGTGAGGGGTTCGACTGGATCCCACCCTTAGCTGCGGCTCCCGTCTGCGGCTGCACACGGGGCCAGCCGCCAGATTTCTGTGTGTGTGTGTATGCATGTGTGTGTATGTGTGTGTGTATGCGTGTGTGCATATGTGTGCTCATGTGTGTAAGGGGCAGTCGCACACACGGCCAGAAGACCTTGTTAGGCTAAAATACGCCTGGACAGCCAGGTGGCCCTGTAAGGGTGCGAAGTTGGCTCTGGGACTGTGGACGTGGTCTGAGATCCGAAGCAAGTGGCTGAGCAGGGAGCGGCAGCCCAGGGAGCCGCCTTCTCCAGCCCCAGCGCTGACCAGCAGGGGTGTGGGGGCCGGTAGTAACCCCAGGATGCCCGGGCTGGCTGGCCACCCACGGCCAGGACGAGGGCTTTCTGCCTGTGTGTCCTGTTCGTGCGCACCCTGCCGGTGGTCAGAGGAGGGGAGGAGCTGTGGGCCCGGCCGCTCACCCCGCCGCTCCTGCCGGTGTTGAGCTCGGAACCGGGCTCCCCGCAGGAGTGTGAGCCGTTCAGCGCCCTTTGCATCGGTCCTCTCCTCCCCAGGCCTCCAGGAAGCCATAGCCGTGTGCTTACACATGCAGACCCAGCAGGCGGTCAACGACAGCTTGTGTGACCAGGTCCACCGTCCCCCCGCCATGAGCCAGGCGTGCAACACGGGGCCCTGCCCGCCCAGGTGAGCGTCGCCCGGGCTCCCGCGATGAGCTGTGCCCCCCGAGAACCTCCCACGTGTGGGCGTCTGCAGGCCGCCGGGCCCACTCCGCCATTCGTGCCCCCTGCCCTCCTCACGGCCGCACTCGGGCCCTGTGTGACTCGGGGCCCTGAGTTTTGCCAGCGACGGCGGTGCCCTCCGTTTGTGACCCGCAGCTCGCTGGCTGTGCCCTCCCCCTTAGCCTCAGGTCTTGGACTGTGGGTCAATGCCAAAGAGCCCTCACAACCCCAAGGCTCCGAGTTCAAATTCCAGTGCTGCAAAGAAAAGAGCAAAAATGAATGCTACAACACATCAGAGTCTCCAACGCAAGAATCAATCACCTAAAAACAACTGCTGCAGGGTGGGGTGGGGCAGGTGGTCGGAGAAGGCCTCGGACTCATGCGTGGGGGCCTCAAGGACCGGTGAGCCCCAAGGAGAGAGGAGGGATGCTAGAGGCAGGGGGAGCTGCGTGCGCAAAGGCTCCGAGTTGTAGCAGCTCCGTGTACCATGCGGGAGACAAGACGCAGGCAGAGGCTGGAAGCAGGCAAAACGTTGGATCCTACTGCCCTGAGTGTTACCACTTGGTGAAAAGTAGCTCATATTCTCCTTTTTTTTTTTTTTGTCACGGGGCTTGAACTCAGGGCCTGGGCATTTTCTCTGAGCTGTTTTTTGCTCAAGGTTTGCACTCTGCCATTTTGAGCCACAGCACCACTTCCCTGTTTGGGGTGGTTTATTGGAGATAAGAGTCTCACGACTTTCCTGCCCAGGCTGGTTTTGAACCGTGATCCTCAGATCTCAGCCTCCTGGTAGCTAGGATGACGTGTGAGCCACCAGCGCCCAGCTCTCATTCTTACCAATAACCTTATATTTGTCCAGAAACTTCATAATGATAAATGGCGCATGACCTTTGCTGGGCGTGGTGGCACACACCTGTCATCCCGGCTGCACGAGAAGTGTAAAATAGAAGGGTCGTGTTGTACGGCGCCAGGGCTTGCCAGGGTTCTGAGAGTGGCGGCTCAGGCAAAGCTGACTGGCCCAGAGGTCACAGAGGGAGTACAGTGTGTGCCAGTCTCCTCCTCCACCCAGCACAGCACAGCCAGGCGGGCAGCGCGCCCGGGGCCGGCACAGCCAGGCGGGCAGCGCGCCCGGGGCCGGCGTGGAGGCCCGGGCAGCGCACTGGCCGGTTCACCCCTCCGCGGTGTCCAGCGTGCCCGCCGTCCTCACAGACGCTGAGCGAGAGCTCACACAGCCCCGTGCTGCAGCCTCTGAACACAGAGATGCTCCGCTGGCAAACAGCGCCACAGCAGCCAGTGTACCCTGGCCGTGTTGCAAAGTTAAGGGTGTTTTTAGGTGAAAGGAATTGCTATTCGTCATTTCAAAGTCCATTCGTCATTGCAAAGGCTGAGAGTTAGAGGGGGAAATGCCCAGGAGAGACCAAGAGTTGATGCCAAAATAAAGGTAAGTTTACAAAAATGCGTTAAGGTTCGAAAAAACTGGTGGTACAGGAGAGGGCGGAACGGGTTGCCTCAGATTTTCCACACAAATATTTACCAGATCCAAGGGCAATAGCAGTAGTCACCCCAGGAGTGGGTGGAGAACCGCGGGTCCTCACCCTACGGCCCGTGTGTGTCAGTGTGTGCGCTGCGGTCCCTGGACCGGAGGGGGTGGGGCCTGCGAGTCCCTCCTGGGGCGGCCCCTCCCAGCATGGCCGAGTACGGGCTTGCTCTTTCCAGGAAGGAGCCAGCTGCTCGCAGACTGGAGCAGGTTGTTGGGAGGACAGCCTCCTCTCTCACCGCTCAGCCCTGCCGGGGGAGGGGTCCCCTCGCCCCTCATCCCTCTGTCTTTAGGAATCTGCCGGGCGTCTCTTAGTGAGGCGCAGCTGCGCACATCCTGACTCATGGTAGTTCGTGCGCAGGCCCTTCCTGCCGAGGGCTGTGCGCAGGGTGGCCGGGCCGCGGTGTGTTAGTGGGATGGCACCACGGTGACGGAGGACCTCTGAACCTTCAGCCTCGAACTCAGATCCTCATCAAAAATGTGACAGTAGCAGCTGCCCCTGGTGACTTTCCTCACATGCAGAGCTGCTGGGACTGAGCTGTGTTACAAGGCCCCGTGTTCATACCTTAGTACCACTATCACCACTGCGCATGTACACACACACACCCACACACCACCACACACACCACACACACAGCACACACTATCACGTCACTACACACACCCCCATACACCACACACACAAGCACACACACCATCACCGTCACTACACACACCATACACATCATACACACACCACCACCACACACACAAGCACACACACCACACGCACACCATACACACCACCACCATCACCACACACACACACACATCATACACACACCACCACCACACACACAAGCACACACACCATCACCGTCACTACACACACCATACACACACCATACACACCACCACCATCACCACACACACACACACACACATCATACACACACCACCACCACACACACAAGCACACACACCACACGCACACCATACACACCACCACCATCACCACACACACCACACACATCATACACACACCACCACCACACACACAAGCACACACACTATCACCGTCACTACACACACCATCTCCATTACCACACCTCCCCATACACCACACACACCACACACACAAGCACACACACCACACACACACCATCACCATCAGCAAACACACCCTCACCACACATCCCCCCCACACATCATTACCACACACATCATACATGCACAAATACCACTACACACCCACCACACCACCACACACACCATATGCACACACTCCATCACCACACACACATACCACACGCACTATGACCACACACACACACCAGCACACATAGACCATCGTCACACACCCACACGCACACTGGGCTCTGCTGTGGGCTGGGGCTCTGTGGCGGGCTGAGGTTGGGAGGGCCGCGTCTCCTGCCTAGCCAGGCTGGCCTGGACAGCAGACCCTGGAGGTCCTTGGATAGAAGGCCTCCTGCCTTTTGTTACAGCAGTGGCAGGAAGTCTGGAACAGGCCAATTATGTCCCCACACACATCCAGCAGGGAGCAAGACCCTGTCTCAAAGTAACCGCTGGAAAGGCTGAGGGTGTGGCTCAATGTTAGAGCACCTGCCTGCCAACCCAGGGCCCAAGTTCAAACCTTAGTGCTGCCAAAATTAAAAATTACCTGGAAGATTTGTTTTTAAAGAACCAAATACAGGGTTAAACCATTTGAAGCAATTTGATCAGTCAAAAAAGATTAAATACAGTCAGTTTATATGGCTCGGAGTTTATATGACTCATCACGAGATATCCAGACATTAAAATGGTAACTTAAACAAAACCCACGCAGGAGGAGCAACAGGTAATATGGACAGGTGACCTAAAGAAGTCTAGAACAAACCACAGAGTGAAGGTGATTCGCAAAAGAGGTAGAGGGGGGACTACTGGAGAGACTCAACCGTGAATCTCCACGAAGTGCAGAGAGAAAGAACGCTACTGACGGCCACCGAGAGCCCGGGGGCTGGAGCAGCAGAATTCAGAGTCACACACAGTCGAGGAAGGAAGTACATGGATGCCCGCGCTCACTGTTACCACAGCTCCAAAGACAAAACAGACCGCAAGACAGAGTCACAACGCAGGCCACGTCCGCCTCCTCTGGCTGCCACCGTCTGGGGATATCTCAGAAGGGGCACCGGCCGGCCTGGGCCACATTGGCGGCCACCGTCTTGGGATATCTCAGAAGGGGCACCGGCCGGCCTGGCCTGGCACAGCGCACTGGGCGGAGCTGTTCTTCACGGTCAGGGGAGGCCAGCGGGCCATGGGCTGGCTGTGTCACGAGGAGGTCACTGTGAGTGAGAGGGAGGAAGCCCTGCTCAGCGCCCGGTCCGGCTGAGCGCAGGAGGAGGCCTCGCTGCCAGTGGACTGTCACAGAGCATGTGACAGGAAGCAGGCTCCGAGAGGAGAGGCAGGGCTGGCCTCCGTGGGCCGTCCTCACCCCGCTTCCTCCCGGCCTCCGTGGGCCGTCCTCACCCCGCTTCCTCCCAGGAGCTGGGTCACTCAGTGATGCTCCCGCGCACACGCGCGTGTACTTTGGCCCTTGATTGCTAGGCATTTCTGGTCGTCCCTTGGGCGGAATTTGGAATCGGCCTCTGCCGGCTGCCCGGGGCCAGCGCCTCTCACCTTGGCAGATGTCTCCGGAGAGCCGCCTCGGTTCTCGTTTTTTTACAGATGTCTGGAGCAAACTTGGTGTCCCCAACACCTTACACCGCTTACACGTGTGCTGTAAATCAGCCCAACAGGGGAGGCTTTTCTTAGGGTTTTGTGTTGCTTTCTCAGGAGGTGTTGAGGCCCTGGGGCCTGTGCACACGGCACCAAGCGCACACGTGGGGCGCAGGGCTGGCCACGGCCAGCTGGTCTCACCCAGCTTCTCCCACGGGGCTTGCGCTCGCTCCTCGCTCGCTCCTTCCCCCTCCCCCTCCCTCCCCTTCCCTCACCCCTCCCC